TTCACATATTAAAAGTTTGATAATCTGTTTGATGCTTAAGATTGGATATTAAACGACTTTTAAAAAAGTACCAACATAATACAGCAAGAGCCAATTGAGCATTTGATGATTCATTCTGATACGATATTCACTGGAGTTGCTCTTATATCACAATTAACTCGCGATGTCGTCATTTTAAATAGTCATACATATTTAAAACGCACACGTGTGAAAAAAAGGCTCTTGCATATTCAAAAAATAAATAAAAAATCAAACATTAATATTGAAGCAACAATTAGTCAAATAAAATGATGACAAGGTTTTTTTTTTAAGATCAAATTTTCAATGGAGTCGTTTAATCGTCCAAAGACTGCTAATTAATCAGTGGACATTTTATTATTTAGGATTGGTAGAGAGAGTATATGAAGTTGGTAGTGGCAGACACTAACATTTGACAAATCAAATAAATCACTAATTTTGTATGATTTAACGTAATTACTTGTCTCCTCGTTATTTCTTCCATCAACACCAATCGATTATTGCTAATTACTTTTAAGACACTAATCCCAATTAATTATGAGTCTATCATAAACATAAATTTTGTTTAAATAGTAACATATTTTGACAGGTATATTATTGCAAGTGATTTTCATTTTCATATTTCAGCAACATTCTTTTACGTGTCAAAAACTGAATAAATGCCAAGCGGATTTTTTGAATTCAAAATAAAAACAATATAGTTCAAAAATTGAAAGAAAAAAAAAAAATTTGAATCAAAATTGTCGGAATTCAAAAATTACGTTTCGATTCTCACTCTAGGACTATCGGTATTCATTAGTCTTTATAAAATGTTAGACTATCACCACTATTAACTTACGGAAATTAAAGAATTAAGGCCTTGTTCGATTAGATATGTGGGTTTAATTTTGATTAGATTGAATTGGATTAATTTTTTACTGATTAATTAATAAGATAGTTAGTAAGATATTTTGTTATGGTATTAATTTTTTTGAAGTTTAGTAGTGCTAATTATATTTTTCAATAATATCCTCAATTTAACATTAGTCATATCGTAATTTGTACCATCTTTGGTATAAAATCGTCTATTCACGTTTTGGTACATGTTTACGAAATTAATCACACGCGTACGATAGAAACTAACTTCATTTCACATTTGTCATTTAACCGTAGACTTCAATTTATATTGTCGACTCGAATTAGTTTGATTTTTTTTTACCCGACAGAGTATATTAGTTACTCACACTACTTAGTAAATATAATTTATAAATAGTGGCAATCGAACTAGACGTAAATGAACTTGGACTTCTTCATTTCACGATCAGAGAATGAACTTTTTCACGTATGATCATCGACACGTATTCATATTTCCTTTGTCTTGTTTTGACCATCGGACTCTTCTGGTGGACATTCTGGAGAACATTGACCGAACTCTCCGAAATTGAAACAACCGTTGGTGTATAAGGATCTATTTTTCGATTATTCTCGATGTACTTCAACTCGTCGTAATAGTTCCATGTTAAGTTTATGGGCCATCCTTGTTATTAATATATTTTTCGTAGTGCAATTTTATTGGGCTTTTTTTTTTTAATTTGAGCTGAAGCCCAAACATATTTGACCAAATTTTTGTTTCGATTAGGCCCAAGGGTGTATGAACATTTGAGCCCAGTCACAATTCACAAGCTTGATTGATAAATAGTTAAATAGTGAAGCTCTTTTTGCGAATATCTATAAATTATGGATTTAGACATTATTTTATAAGATATAACCCCCTTAGTCTTACAAATAATAGGGGTAGACCCAAACTCAAATTTGTCATTTTGATAAAAACTCATATTTTTCTAAATTACACCAGTACCCTCAATCAAAACCCACAAATCCCGTTACTTCACCTTTTGAAATAATATCAAATCCCTCCCTATTTTCTCGTTAAAACACTATCCCCACAAAACCCACTACCAAAATCTGCAAACCTCCCAAAAAAAAAAAACCAAAAATTTATACGCAGGCGATTGACGATTTTCTGCACTCCGACCAAGCCGTCGTAGGTACGTCTTCGCCGCTCGTTGAATCGCCATCACCAATCGGTACGTTGATATGTTTTTGATAAATCGACTATGACGTTTGTATAATTGCAGATCTTTTCTAATCGCATACCAAATTCGAGCCCTAAATCAGTGGTATTGCAACAATTGATGGGCAGGACATCCACCAGAAGTGGTAACCCATGTCAGTATTTTTGTTTAATTGCAACGTGATAGTCGTCTTGAGTGTTTTTTTTGGATACTCTGGATATATTTGCTTATCTAACACACTCAGCAATATGTTGCAGGCGACGAGGTATCAAAAATAAACCAGGGGTATTAAAGGGAAATTAAATAATATATTGTGCCAAGTTGACATATTTGGGTGTATCTCAAAAAAGGAAAAAATATATGGATCTACCTCATTAGAAAATCTGAACAAGAGGGTTATCCCTAATAAATCCTATTTTATATGTTTTTTCCATTTTTTTAATATATTTGACTATGTTAAATTCTTGAATCTTATATGAATGCTTGTAGTTGTATACTCAATTTAGGTGCAAATTTAGATCGAATGACCTGCTTTAATAAGAAAATCCGATGTCATATGATGATTGACACGTGGATAGTTTAAATAAAAATATAATTAGGATTCTAATAATTGGAGAAAATTAAGAAATTTAACCCCAATTATAATTAGTGTGATTTATTAAGAGTTAAAAATTAAGAGTGCAAATGTCAAAAAATTAATGGAATTCAATTTATATTAAATATCGATTGATCAGCTTAACATTTAATCTCAATTAATTTATATCACAAAAATAATATAAGGGGTTTTGTTCTTTATTTTTGCCTCATCCTCGAAGAGAACAAATTATTAAAAAAAAAAAAAAAAAACAAAGAGAGAGAGAGAGTACAGTGACGAGATATTTGACCTAATTATTCAAGAACATATATAATTTAAAAATTAATTTTGAAGAGATACAGTTTGAAAGAATGAACAGTAGAAAAATAGTGGTGGGACGTACGAGTAATTAAATTCCAACATGAACATGCATGCATGATTGATGAGGTCCACTGCACTGCACTGCTGTGAATAATAAAATATTAAACTCAAAATTAAATCAATTAAATAAAATGCAGTCAAATGAAAGTACAGTGTTTGATTGTGGGAACTTCTCACATCACATCAAATCACGAACAATTAACACAGCTTTATTTTACTTTTAATTGGTCAACGGTCAACCCGGATTTCTTCTATATGCTGCTACCGTTGATAAATATATTATTTACTTTTTTTCTTACGTCAAATAGTTATTTCATCTTTCTTACTATTGATAAATTATACGGATGTATAATCTATTATCTATGTAGTAATGAAATAAAATACAATATATACCTGAACATACTACCCCTCCATTCCATTTTAATTGTCTTTCTAGATATTTTTATTCATTTTAAAATAATTGTCATTTTAGGATTCCAATGAAGTATTTATTGTGTTTTCTCAATTATGCACTTATTACTATTAAGAGAATTAGTGGTTAAACATTTAATGTAAGTGGTTTTTTAGTCATTTTATTATGAATTTTCTAAAATCCATGCACATTTATTATTTTTCTTTAACACGTGTGAATTCGGCCAAAAAGACAAGTAAATTGAAATGGAGGGAATAATTTATTGCATTTCGATTTTCGAGTGGCTTTATATTCCCTAATAAGAAAAATAAAACTGAAATAATTCATTGGAATCATTAGGATTTTCAATATTTGAATTTTGATGACCCAAAAATTGATATGAACATGTTCAATAAACATAATTTCATAAATGTGTTATATATAATAATAATAATAATAATAATAATAATAATAATAATAATAATAATAATAATAATAATAATAATAATAATAATAATAATAATAATAATAATAATAATAATAATAATAATAATAATAATAATAATAATAAAATGTGGTCAAATGGGGAGCCATTGAAGTAGTTATTGCTCGGAGGTGATGATGATGAGCGGGTATGAGTATTATCTGTGGTGGGCCCTCAATAATCATTCTTAAATATATCAATATAATAAGAGCTGGCATAGCCGAAAGGCCCATTAATTTTTATTTTATTTCTAATAATCTTTATATGAACATTTATACATATATTTATGTCAATATCTATTCTATTCTAAAGAAAAAAAAATCATTCTACAATACACTTTAATTTGCTTCCACAGTTTTACTCGGAAAAATTTTGCAAATTGGATTGTTCTTAGAATTTGAAGTATGTAGTATGATTAACGACGTCTTCCTCCTATTTTGTAAAGAAGTAGAATCGATTTTTGTTCTTGCAGTTTCGTTGCAAGTAGTTTATGGTAACATTTTGTATTTTTATAGTAAATAATTAAGATTTTCGATATTAGTAAGATTTTACCGTATTTTAGTTACATCATGAATAAAAATATTTAGGCGATCCACTTACAATTCAAAACTCCGGGCTTATGAGATTCTATACCTGGTGTAATACGTACCATATGGTTTTAAACCGTAGATCTACATGAATAACTACTCAATACCCACTACGCACACATACACATGGGAGTGTATGTTATTATGTGTAGAACTACAGTTTAAAAGTAAACTATACATGTATTTCACCAGGTGTAGGTATGACGAAAACGAGATATGGTTAGGAAAATAATTTACAAAAGGAAGAATTGAAGTTACCATCAACATGTACATATATAAATATATATATATATATATAGATATAGATAATAGATAGATAGATAAATAAATACATACATGTGGTCCTAATATACAAGTAGCTACACATCAATTGATCTTTACATCTCCCCTCCCAATAACTCCCTCCTCATCATGTCATGTGAGCCCAAAAGTGAAGCCAAAAGAACCGTTGGAAAATTCCAACGGAAAAAAAAAATAATAATTAAAAAAAAAAATCGAAAAAAAAAACAAGAAAACGAAAAACTCACTTTCGGCATTACCACAAAAAAATCTTACAACTTTTCTTTTTTATTCCCTTTCACCATCAATCATAAATGAAAACACGAGTAGGGTTTTGTGGTCGAGTTTCCAAGTGTATAACTTGTGGATCATTTTTCCTCTAGGCGTTTGACGGAGATGTAGAGTCCTTTGGGGAAATCGACGAACGGGAATGCGTAGGGGAGATCGGAATCTGCTGTGGCGCACCATTGGAAGTTGAGGACTAGGTGGTGGATGAATACCGCCATCTGGAGCTTCGCGAGTTCCGATCCGGCGCAGAGGCGCGGTCCTCCGCCAAATGGCATCATGTGGTTGGTCGGATTTGGTGCACGCCCGTGAGTGTTACCCTGCAACCGCATTAATAGTGACGTGTCAGGACTGTTCGGGGGGTTCTTGTTCCCGTAATTCGGTGATAGGGTTGATGCCTTGGTTGTTTAAGGAAGCAAAAAAATATTAAAAATTAAAATTAAAATAGAAATGCAAATAAGAATAAAAATGTAACATGTCTTCTATTTTTTTTTAATTGTAATATATAATTTTATCTTGTATTATATTTAATTATATGTTAAGATGACAGATAATAAGATAAGCACAATTAATTTGATATTGGTGCAAATATAAAAAAAAATTGTCCAGGTTATAATATGGGCACCAATCTATAATATGCTTTTCATGTACAGCACATAATCACCTCATAACATCAATTAATATATAAAAAAAAAAAATTGATTCATTTTTTTAATAATTAAAAAAAATATTATTTTTTATTTTTTTAGTTTTAAATAATAAGCAGGGCCATGCCAACTCGTCAAAAAGAAAAAAGAAAAAAATATTTGGACCAGCAACAAAAGAGAAGGAAAAGCACTCGTGCACGTGCACGTGCAACCCCACAATCCACATGGGGACTTTAATCATTCATCATCACTCTCGCACGCACGCACGCACGCACGCACGGACGGGGGTAGAGATTTCCTACTTCTTTTCCCTACAGTTTTCCGGTGGGCCTCCCCATCCGTACGCTGTTTTCACTTACGCCCGTTCGTTTTGATCATGACACCGCATCACGTGGGGCCACCCGTTTAACGGATTATGATTGCTTAATTAAATACTTTTGTTTTTTTTTTTTTCCTCTACATAAATACATTTATCTTTGTGCTCTTATCTCAATTATTTAATAGGAATGGGTGGAAATTACTTTGGAGAGGGGTTCATACGGTAATATCGGAAATTTGTACGTTTGCCGAACCGAGGTATTCGGTTCGATACGGTTTTTACGAATTAATTCGGTTTCTTCGGTTCGACAACAGCAAAACTGAAAATATTTAATATTTTTCAAAAGGGCAATGCTAAATCCTACACTAAAATTTACTAAATCCCACACATAAATTAAAAAAACATTCTCTCTCTACTCAAATTTTCTCGAACTTTTCTCTAAAATGATTTTATCCAAGTCACTCAAAATTCATTATTTTTTATGTGAATAATCATAAAAAATGAGTTCCATTTTATTTAATATTTATTCAATTTCATTAAGCATTTTCAATTATTCAAATTCATACGAATTCGATTTTTTTCCTCAAATTTCAACTTTATTTTAGTTTGAACATGTGAAGATTTTTGTTAAATTCGAACTTCGAATGCTAAGGATGTTTTTAGTGTGTAATTTTGTGAAAACATTAGGGAAAAAGAAGGATGAGGGAAGGAGAAGAGAAGATTTTAGAGAAAGAAATATTTTTAGTTATGTGCATGATTTGGTAAAAATAGTGTGGGATTTAGTATTTCAGTTTTAAAAAATATAAAATAAATATTTAAACTAATTATTTATTGAATTTGACATTCACATTTTCAACAATCGACCCTAAAAATAAATAAATAAATAAAACAATTATCAATAGATCTAATTTGTAAATAATGACAAAAAATTAATTTAAAAGTATTTTATAATTTGTTATAACCTTAAAGAATTTAAAATAAAAGAAACAAAAAACATATTTATTAAATATTTCGGGTAATCAGTACGGTACGATATATACTGTATTACCGAATACCGGAATTCGATAAAATCTTTACCGAATATTGGATCGAATTTCACTTCGATTCGATCCAATTGGTTTACCGGCCGAGCGAACACCTCACTCCGGACCTCTTCACCCCATAGTGGAATACATTATCCATATATTTACATATATGTACTTCATCATACATTTTATAATAATAATACATCCACACAATTCGACTCATAAAATCTTATGAATCGAATATATTCCTACCTAATAATGAACATCTAATAAAAACTATATACTAATAGAATTTCTATTTTAAATTGGGGTCAAGCAATTTGCATGATTAGTGGGATCTCCTTTCATGTTCAGTTATTGGTTTGTTTTCTTAATGTTCGGGACAGGTGTCCTGTCGGTATTGGCTAATCCAGGCTGGTTAGAAACCCGTAGACCACCACACCCACATGGTACACCAATGGGTCGACCCATTTGAGTTCATTGTTCATGTAAAAAAGCATTTAAATAAAAATGCAGTTATCTCTATGTATAGTCCTATCACTAATACTTATCAAAATTATTATTGAAAAAATAATAATAGCTTATCTTTCAATAGAGTATTATCATATATTACTCGGTTGAATATTGGATTTGTAGAGGTAACTCGTCAAATTTAGATATTGTGTTCGATGAATTGGAGTTCGGGTAATATATAACTATTGGTTTGGTTTTGCAGATGTTACACTCGATGAAATACATCAGGTGATCCTGAATATTTGATTTACACATAATAACACACGCTCGTTCGTATATATGATTAATCGACACTTATTTATACAGATTTACGATTCAAAATCACCCGGTGTGTCACACCAGAAGTAGCGTGTGAATGCATAGTTTTGTGTCAATGAATGATAAGAGTTCATATAATGTGTTTTGCCCAATATATCATAAATGAATGTAAATCAACTTACAAGAGGGATACAATTTCAATATTTTCTCAAAATAGACATATAGGATTATTTGTCAAAGATTTGGATGATTGACAAATTGACATTATCAAATGGGTGAACAATCACACCACTTAATGATTAAATCACCTAGATGTCTAAAGAGCCTATAAAAGGAGATAAATTAGGGATATCCTTAATGCACTTTTGTTTATGGTTGAAATTGAGACATCAACTCATGAATTTCTTCGGGTTTGATTTTTTATTTTCGCCGATTTCGATCTGAAAGTTTTTTTTTTTTAATTATTCTTTTCATTTTGAATTAAAAAATTATACCACTTTTTTAGGAAATTCGATTTCGAGAATTCAAATATTTGTAATATGAATATTATTATGTATTTTATATTATATGTGAATATTTTTTGGAGTTCTCAATTTTTTGAATAAGTTTCTTAATTACAATTAAAATTTTCGAAATTCTAATTTCGGATTCTTTCATTTCCTTAGATTAATAGTCTTTTTTTTTTGTTTTTTAATTATGTACCCCGAAAGAGAAGCCCAAAGTTGGAGCTAGGGGTGTTCACTCGGTTCGATAATCAGTACAAATTTTGGAAGTATCGAAATTTCGGTACAGTTTTATCGAGATGAAGAGTGCTAGTTAGGGCTAACCGAAAGAAAAAGATTGAATAGAGGATAGGGTGAAAAAAGCAGAAAAGTGGCAGTATACGAAGAGAGAGAGAGAGAGAGAGAGAGAGAGAGAGAGAGAGAGAGAGAGAGAGAGACGAACCTGCCATCTCCATGGGTTGAAGTGCCAAGGCTGTTCATAAAGTGTTGGATCTAAATGCACTGCTGCTATCACCGGCAACACTTTCCACCCACATGGAATGTCATATTCTTTTTTTTTTTTTTTTTTTTTTTTATTAATCCCCCAACAAAAAACAAATTCAACTAATTAATTACTTACTAATAGCAACATTATTTAATTTAGCAAATAAAAAAGAATAACTATAATAGTAAATCCTCTACCTTTGTACCTAACATCTTTTAGGGCTTTCCTGTGTAGAAATCTAACCACGTTCCCCAGCCTCAGTGTCTCGCTTATTACCTGATATATATACATATATAATTTTGGGAATTAATTTACTAAATTATTTAATTGAATATATTTAGTAAGAATTGAGAAGCTTACACATTGTGTGAACTCCATTTTCTTATAATCATCCCAGCTCAATTCAACTGCTTCCCCTGTTTCTCTCTCTCTCTTCGCCGTAGCAATTTTCATGTGTTCTTCCTATTTGATGAGAGAGAGAGAGAGAGAGAAGAAGTCTATTAATTAATAATTAATTTATTAATTATATACATAAGGTTAATTAATTAGGTGAATGAAGGGTGGCATACTCGTAATTGTTGAACAGCAGAGGGGCAGGCCTGCAAGAAGTAAATAGCGAGAGAAATAGCAACCGACGAAGTTTCATGGCCGGCGAACAACAAGCTCAAAACCAGGTCAAGTATTTGCTCTTTCGACAGATCAGAATTCTTCACCACCCATCCCAATAAATCATCTTCTTCTTCTTCCACTTTTTTCTCTATCCTCTCCTCCATTTTCCGCTCGATAAATCTCAGTATTATCGATCGTGACTATTCAAACAAAATTCAAATTAAAAAATTAATTAATTAATTATTCATTCAAAAATTAAAATTAATTACCTGCAAGGCTTTCCGGTAGGCGGTTCCCGGAAAATTCAACGGAGCGGAAACCACGCCTTTCATGAAAGTAATGTACTCTCTCTTCAACTGCTCCGTTTCCGGTTTTCCCGGTTCCAGGCTCATTATATGCTCCGCCATTAAATTGAATGTGAACTGCACATTTTTTTTTTAAATTAAAAACACACACAGAGTTGGGGTTTATATATATATATATATATAGATATAGAATTACTGTTCTGACCTTTTTGGATTCGTCTTGGGCTGAGATAATGGAGTTGTGCATCCATTTGGAGAGAACGAGCAAAGTGTGCTTTTCGACTTCACGGAGGAGATGAGTTTTGAGGCGTGAATTGCTCAAAAAATTGAGAGAAATGATTCTCATATCTCTGTGCATTTCTCCGACCAGAACAAGCATAGACCATTTCCCGAGGATTCCGCCGATGCTCCTCGGGTAACTGCACTCGAACAGTTTCCCTTCGTTCTGTAGGATGAATCTGTTCAGCCCTGCATCCGCGGACACTATTGTCGGTTCCCCGAACAAATGCGACTTGTATATTTTTCCGTACCTGAAAACACAATAAGTTTAATTCATCATGTGTGTATGTATATATAACTTATTTTTTGTTTCGATCGTGGAATAATTGGATTACCTGGAAATGTGTTGTTCCATGAATTTGCCGATGGTGTTGGCGGTGTATGGTTTGAGGTAGGCGATTGTTTCGCCGAGAAAAGGCCAGCCCATGCTTCCCGGTGGAAGATTGAGATGCTTTTGTTTTCGTTTGCAGAGGTTAAGGAAGATTAGAGACACGCATAAGAGGAAGAGAGTGAACTCCACGCCCAAATTATCCCACATGTTTTCTTCTTTTCTCTCTCTCTCTCTCTCTCTCTCTCTCTCCTCTTTTCTTCTCTCTCTCTAGAAAAACTGGGAATAAATAAGAAAAAAAAGAAAGGGAGATTTTTCTTGGTTCTCTGTTTTTGCAGAGAAGCTCTTTCTTCTTACAATTAACTTTAGGCGGTTTTGGAGTGGAAAACAAAAGTAATCGAACAGCTTTTTGGCCAATAAGCTGCTTTTTATAGGCTTCAATTCTCTTGCCTCCGGAAATTATTTATTTCAAAATGTTGTAATAACTTGTAACATTTACAAAAAAAAAAAAAAAAATACGACACAATTACATTTAACTACTAGTTGCATAGTTTGGTTTAATGTTTTTCAATTATATTTGATTTTTAATCTATGAATTTCTGTGTCAAAACTTTTATTTTTTTAGTATGTTATTATGCATCCATCCACTTACATGCTTTAATTTATAAATTAAAAAAATGTTAAATTACAACCACCCCTGATGTATAGTCAAATTACAAAAAGATTCATCATGTTTGGGTAATTACAACCACCCCTCAACTATAAATCTTCTTACACGTCCACTCTTGCGGTGTCAAATTTAGTAGAATCTTCTAGATTAGATGAAATATTCTCAATTTTGTACCCGTTTTATCTCATTCGAACTCCACTTTTTGAAGCAAGATAATCATAAGATGTGTTTTTTTTGCTTGTAAATATCAGACTGTGGTGTACCAGAAATTATATTTTTGCACAAAATACGTACAAACTAGAGAATATTCTACGAAATCTAGAAAATGATGTTAAATTTGATACCATAAGGGTGACCTGTAAGAAGATCCATAATTGAGGGGTAGTTGTTATTATTCAAACAAGAGGGAGGTTTTCGTAATTTGATCATACCTTAGGAATGGTTGTAATTTGTCAATACTATTTAGTTACAATAAAAGTAACCCAAAGTAATGCTAAATTCCCTATGCGTAACATTATAAAAGCCTAATAATCTTCTATTCTAGTACGGTCTAACTATAAAAAAATATTAAGGTGTAAGAATTAAATTACTACGAAAAACATTAGAAAATACAAAATTCCTCCCAATTAGAAAATCTTCTTTTTTACAAAAGAATTTTTTTTTTTTGAAATTTGTGTATCATGTTTGATTCAATATCTCTTTCATCATGTGAAGACTAACTCCTACTTCCACTTGAAGTTGCTTCTCTTTAAAACACATCAAATAATGTAAGTCCATTTTTGGATGAGTTTCAGTCAACTTGAAACTACTTTTCTTTTCACAAGGTGTTATTATCAAGAAACAATGGAAAAGAAAAACACTCCACTATATAGCCAAGTTCATATGTATTTATTTGTGAATAAAACATTAAAGCCCAAAGTTGAAAATTCCAGTACACATCGAATCGAAATGGGACGGATCAAATCAGAATTAACACTATTCTGAATAAAAAATTATTTTTTCTGAAAATAATGGGATCGAAGTCTTCATTAATAATTGTCCTGCAATGAGTGTTCTAGCAGTTGGAGTAAGTGAATTTGTGTCAATTGATCCAAGTTCGGAATCTCGATGTCAACAGTCGCTATGTCAAGCTTGTACACATGGTTAACCTATTGTGGTTTATGTCTCTCCTATGCTTTACAAGATATTATACGAGAGTGTAAGTTTACCTAATGCACCTATACGGGTTGGATGTGGGTTTATTTATTAAATAAAAAAAAAGGCTCTTAATTAATTTATCAAATTAAAGATTCAACTTAAATAAGTTTCATTAATTCGATCAATCTCGAATTAGAAGTAAATAAGGAGTTATTAATTTCCAATCATATTTTGAATACAATATTTGAAATTCATTGAAAACAAGTCTTCGAGATATTATATATTGCCTGTCTTATGCAATGAATTGATTGGAGGATTGGGATTCTATTTGTGTCGTGGACTATATGTTAGTACGCTATAATAATGAATACTAATTGTGACAACATTGATTGATGTAATAATCAGTTGAGATGGTTTGGTAGAGCTATTAAAATTAACACAATAATCTGTCGGTATTGCCAGTTAAGAATTTTTTTAATTATGTTCAACCTCTAATAATTGATAACATGCTCAAACAAATAAAATAAATATATGTCCCATGAACAATTGCGAACTGTTGTGATATATATATATATATATATATATATATATATATATATATATATATATATATATATATATATAAAATCTACCCCGCCATTGGCCCATGTTTTGAGTATTTTAGCAGTGTTTTAAAACTCGGACTGGACTGGTCGGTTGAATCGAGTAAACCGTGAACCATTGTCTTATCCGGTCTCGTTTAACCGGTTGATTCATAACATGGGAGTCCGAGTGAAAATTGCGTGTTTTGGCCAAAATTGTGTTTTGTATATAAAAAGTAAGGGCAAATTAAGGTTGCCCCTGAAGTAAGCCCAAATTACGAAAAAAATGTCTCATAATTGGATAATTACAATCACTTCATCAACAATGCATAGTTGGGATGATTGTAATTACCGAAATATAAGGGGTTGTTTCATAATTTGTGGACACATCAAGGGGTTATCGTAATTTGCTCTGAAAATAAACAAATAAAACGACATCTTTTTATTGCCCAGTTGAAAAAAAATAATTTTTTGTTTTTGAAATTGGAAGACATGTTATTTTTTTTTAAATATAATTTCTATAATATTTGAAATGATTTGGTGTAATATGTGTGTAAAAGAAAAATAAGTTTATTTACATTTTAATTCGAAATGAATAATGAGTCCATGTGTGAAAGAAAATATGCTCTATTTATTTACTATACAAAGTCTGTACAAATAATTATAAACTAAAAACGAAAAAATCAATTGAATCCGGTTGGACCGGTCTAACCGTGACCCCAGTAACTTGTCCGAGTCTATATTCAGTCTGCTTTTCAAAACATTGATTTTTAGAATTAACAAATATTTTGACCAAGTACTCAAGTAAAAGTTAACAGAGCAGTTGTGTAATATTAAAAAATAAATTTATAAATGTATAAATATAATATGATTTTAAAAATTAATCTGTGACATTCATTTAAATAACACTGAAAGCAGAAGACCCACTCGGTGTTTTTCACCGGGTGTAGGGTCGAACAAATCATTACCCACCATTTAGACCCGGTAAATACATACCCCATAAATCATAATAATTTATTGAATTTCTTTTTTACAAAAATAACAATCTATTAATTTTGGTGATTGTTACACCGTGGCGGAGCCAGAATATGGACGTTGGCCCCGCTCAACAAATAAATTCACAAAATCGCGGCTCGGGTGAGTTTAAAATCTTGAATCCACTCCTCGACTATGATAGACCCCACATTTTGCGATTTTAAGCTCGTACTGTTGTAAATAATTTAATTTAAATATGTCGTATAATTTGTAACAAATTAAACATTACTCCTTCTGATCCATAATAACTATCACTCTTAAAAAATATTTTTGTTCTATATTATTGACATTGCGTTGCTGCGCACAATTTTTTTTTTTTTTTTTTCTATTTTAACTCTATTAATTCAATTCAAAATATTAACTTTCTATTCTAAATTTAAATTGATAATGTTATTTTAGTCTCTTTATGTGTTTTTACTAATATCAACCGTATCTATGGAGTAATTGTTATCCAATCCAAATAAGTGGGCACAATTTTTTTATTATTTTTTTTCTTTTCTAGTTAATACTTGTGGTTAGTTGTACCTTCTGCTTCCCACGTGTGAAATCCCTACACGTATGGTGGGCATTGTCTCTGACCAAACAAATTAATTGAGTTGCCAACTAGTGTAGGCCCATCACTCAGAGGTGGGCTGGAAGGCCCATTAATTACAACCCAACTCCGATTAATTAAACTATTTATTATTAACAAAATATCCACATTCAAAGTAAAGCCCAAGATCTTCAATGGGGGCATATATTCTTGATTCTACTACTATTTTTTTATAAGATACTATTATTAATTACTATACACATATACACACACACATATATATATATATATATATATATATATATATATATATATATATATATATATATATATATATATATATATATATAGACACACACATAAATTGTGTGTGTGTGTGTGTGATTATGTGTGAGGAGGAGAGTGTGTGCAAGTCATTGAATGAGTTGTACTAGTAAGAAGTGCTTCGTTTCTAATCAATTCTTAGGATAAATTACAACCGCCACTCGAGGTAAGGTTTATTTATGAAAAAAAAATCCTTCATTTTTTTCATAATTACTAGTATCTTTTTTAATAATTACTATGTAATTTAAAGATTTATTACATTAACACTCTTTTCTAGAGGGTGGAGGGAAGAAATTTACAAACTGCAGAGTGTTAGATAAAATATCATAAAATATTCCACATATGAGCGGTTTTCATTGTGAGGTCGTTGTAAGTGAACTAAAAAGTCAAAGTTATGAGATAAGGCAAACATATCTCAATCTACACAATGATATGTATTTAGCAATTGAATTTGGATGTGTCTTAATCATGTTTAAACCTATAATTGCATTTGTCCAAAGAGATTTAATGATTACAAAAGGGATGGATGAAAAGAAAAGATTGTGATGATAGAGACAATAAGAAAGTAGAGAAAAAATTATGAAAAAAGATAAGCAATCATTATGTGTTGACAATGCAATAGAGTATCGATTTAATTTTAGGTTAATTACTATTACCTCTCAATGATCATTTTAATAATGTATTTTTTTACACGATCATCCTTTACATTATCAAATTTATATACTGAAATATGAATATTTTTTTATAAAAAAATGCATAGTTGATGGGTGGTTGTAATTACCCAAATATAAAGGATTGTTGCGTAATTTAACTTTAGATCAAGGGCTGACCGTAATTTACCTAAATAACTTCAAAGTTTGTTGTGTATTATATTTCCAATATCACTTGAAGAAAACATTATATTTTTTTCTCTCTGCAATATTCAAACGAAGTAAAGAGTTTTCATTTTTCAAACTCTTCAACTAATAATTGTAAATATTTGTCAATAATACATAATTTCATTTTGTTTTAATATGATTTTAATATTGTATTTGTCTACCTGAAACCATGGGCATACATACATGCTTATCCTTTTATATATACCTTTCCCACACCCTATAGTAAGGACAAAAGGGAAGCAAAACTAACATAACCATTTTTGTGAATATAATGCCCATATTGGATTTCTATAATATATATATATAATTATATTATATATATTATAAGCTATAATCATG